ATCACCTGTCAGGGATCACTCGGGGGGTCACGGGCGGAATGGACACAGCTGTGAGAACAAAACCGAGGGGAAGAAAGGCGAGAGCTCCCAATTGCGCCAGATGTGCGGAGAGGACCTTGAGACTCGCCCCCGCCGCGCCGGCTCCTCCCGCTCCTTCCCCCAACACCCCCGTGGCATCACGCGGGGATTGTAGCCAAGGGGGCCGGGCCCGGACCTGCTTCTGATTACCGCGCGTGGCCTGGACACCGTGGGGGATCTGGGGGCCTGATAGCAAGGCTCGGGGAACTCCAGAGCGGGTCTGTTGCTTTAGTGGGGGGCGTCCCAGTGACTAGCTGGGACGACCAATATTTCCACCACTAGCACCCCCCCCCCCCGCGCGCCGGAAGCCCTTCACACCTTCCCACCACCCACGGATCCCGCCCTTACTGCAGCTGGGCACGTCCTGCAGCTGGGACTATTTGAACTTTAGGGCTCTCAGATGAAAACCCACATCCACACCAATTGGCAGATTTTTATGTGCCATTATAAGTCGTCCCGAAAAAGGCTCCCACCCCATCCCGGGCCCCCAAAACATAATTTCAAGAAATGTCAGCCCAGGCTTGCTGTGAAAGACTTGCTAGTAACTCCGGCCTTTGCTCAGTCACTGACTTATACAGTTTCACAATCCCCTTAAAATGATCTTTAAGTGAATGCAAAAACTGGGTACAATGCCAACAGAATCGGATTCAGCGAAGCCCGGCAGACTGGACTCTGGCATGACAGCCAGAGAAAGAAACGCCAGAGAACTTTCACCATATTTAGCAATTTTACTATATCAGGGTACAAGAATGGTCTTGGGAGAAGGCGCTCATGCGTTGTAGCTGCCGGAGTGTGGAGCGAAGCTGCACAGCGCTCATTATCATCCAGCCCAGGGCCTTTCTGTTGGGATAATGAGGCTGGCACGGGTGCTAACATACGGTGTCCTTGGAAAAAGAGAAGAATGCGTCAGTACCGCAGAGATGCAATGTCCAAGAATCATAAGTAATAATTTGAGAATCCCAGAGATGTTTGTTTACATTGGCTATTATTGTAAAATACTCAGAGTATAACATCATGAACCAAAAGTGTCAAAACAAAATCTGTTCCGCTGTGGCACGTATGTGACAGAAACACACGCACACAAAAAAGTACACCAAAGGCTCGAACTGTGGGGGGACTCAGAGAGTAAATCACTTCCAGGCTTAATAACAGAGGCGAGTCGTCGATCGGAACGCTGTCGCCGAGTGGCAGGCGGCACTGCAGGGCTTGCGCAGATATCTTCCTGCAGGGCAGCGTCCCTCAGCAGCCTCCACACTTAGGTGGCCGGATTTTACCACTTCTGCGCCACCGGACTCTGCCTCCCTAGAGAGAAGTCCTGGGGCACATGGCTGTCACGTGGAGGTCAGAGAGTGCCTGGCCCACCAGCTGAGGAATTAATCATTAATTGAAGGGAAAATAGTGTTCTCCCCCCACACACTACAGAGCTTTGCCCGGATTCTGCCTTCTTCCTCTTTCTTACAGTCAGACCACACCAAAAAAAAAAAAAAAAAAAGAAAAGTCAACATGTTACTACCAGTTTACCCTTTCTGTTTTTGTTTTGTTTTAGAGAAATATTTTTCCTCTAATATACGGTAGTCTTCTGCAGAGCGAGAATGAAAGTACCGGAGTCAAGAGCTCCAAACTTTCTAAAATGTAGCTGCATCTAGAAAGAGGTGCTGAAGGATTCCTAACCTCATACGTAACAGAATTTTCTCTAAAAACAGCGATAAGCTGTCAGTCAATAGCTAGGACCACCTACCTGACAAAGAGCTTCCCCAGAGCTCTAAGCGCTGGAATGTGACACCAGAAATCGCGATTTGTGCATAATTAATCGCAGCACACCGCCACTTACACTGAAGGGCACAGACCAAGGGCAGTGTATGTAAATGGAGTGCCCGTGTGCAAACCCTACTAATGACCTCCGATTAATGGAGTCATTATACCAACCCTGCCTCATTTTGGGGGGAACGAAAGGGGGTGGGGAGAATCCTGAACGTGCCGGGTCCCTGGGGCTCCTCTGCGGTCTGAGGAAGACCGCACAGTATTCGCTACAACTCCTGTCACTCAGTTTCCCAGAAGGCCTCCCGCGTTGCTCCAAGTTGCAAAACCTCAAGCTAAACCGGTCCTGAATGTGTACGTGGGTAGTTTTTTTTTCTCACCCTCTTAAACCCAGCTTTTCTTTATCTCAAAAGAAGGAACTCACTCTACAAACGTGCCTCCCTAAAGGCGCGCTTCTTTTCCCATCAGCAAAGGTTGCTGTCTTTCCCTGACGCTAGCGACCTATGACTTCCCCTCTGGGAGCGGAGACCTTAGGGCTGCTGGCAGCCCTGGGTCTGAGGTGACTTGCACCGGGCACACCCCCAGGGCGGATTCGGGGGTCGGGTGTCCTACGGCTCTGAGGATGGGAATCAGGCGGGCACGTTTGCACACCCGGGCCCCTGGGCTCGCAGCGCGTACTGTACTCAATTTACCACCCCAGCTGGGCTCGCGCCCGCTCCTCCCACCCCACGGGCATTGGCTGCAAACGCGGAAGGACCGAGCGCTCTCGCTCACCAATGGGAGAACTCGCTCGGCATGATGGACATTACCCCTTCCACCAATGGCTGCTGAGGGATGCCCGATCGAGTGGCCCGGGAGAGTGCACATAAAAGCCGCCCCGCCCGGCTCGCGCTTCATTCTGAGCAGAGCCAGGTGCCGCACAGCCAGCTCGGCCCCCCTGCGGCGGCTCCCTCCCGGCCTCTCCTCCTACGAGCAGCATGAAAGCCTTCAGTCCGGTGAGGTCCGTTAGGAAAAACAGCCTGTCGGACCACGGCTTGGGCATCTCCCGGAGCAAAACCCCGGTGGACGACCCGATGAGCCTTCTCTACAACATGAACGACTGCTACTCCAAGCTCAAGGAACTGGTGCCCAGCATCCCGCAGAACAAGAAGGTGACCAAGATGGAAATCCTGCAGCACGTCATCGACTACATCTTGGACCTGCAGATCGCCCTGGACTCGCACCCCACGATCGTCAGCCTGCACCATCAGAGACCTGCACAGAACCAGGCGTCCAGGACGCCGCTGACCACCCTGAACACGGACATCAGTATTCTGTCTTTGCAGGTGAGACTCGCTCAGCAAGTACCCCGCGGTCCGTAAAACCCCCGGTAGCCCGGCCTGTCACCCTTAAAGTCTATTGTAGAGACAAGCTCATTAACTTTATTTTTTTAAGAAAACTGTACATCGAGCCTGGTGTAAAATCGCTACTTAAGTTCTGTGTTGGGTTGCCTCTGGATCTGAATTGTAGCGTGAACCTGTTTTTTTTGTTTTGTTTTGTTTTGTTTTTAAATGGGACTTGTTGGCACTTTCGTAAAGAGGAGGGGAGGCTATCTTTTAGGATTGTCTAATATCCTGCCTTTTATCCTCTCTCTCTCTCTCCAGGCGTCTGAATTCCCTTCTGAGCTTATGTCGAATGATAGCAAAGTACTCTGTGGCTGAATAAATTGGTGAGTGTTTGCGGGTGCCTCCTCCTGTATGCGCGCTTTGGCAATGTGCTTGTGTGTGCATCTGTAAGATGTTTGATTTGGAAAATGCATGCTTACTTCGCTATGTTAGCGGGTGCCTCTTGTCTTAGCAGATAGGCATGAAGGGGCTTGTAGCTGTGGGTACCTGGGATTACAGAACATTTGCCTTAAAAAAGAAAAAGAATGTAAGAAAGAAAGAAAAAAGAAATGCCAGTAACTTATTGCAGGACAAACTATCATTATTACTGGTTTTGTGAGCCCATCGGTGGTCCTGTGAGGTACGAACCTCGGCTGTAATTAATCTTAACGCCACAAATTCCATAGGGGTTCTCCTTCCCCCAAACTGCGGTCATCTGAGATTTCTCTAGCTAGCTGAGGATTGCTACCCTGAGCCTTACCCCTTGTGTTCTGGGATCCAGATTTCCCTATCTGTTAACCAAAGGGCTGTTTTCAATCAAATAATTGTTACAAGAAGCACCCTGGCGCCTGTGAGCAGGCTGTTAGAGATCCAAATAGGAGACTGCGTTTGGGAAGTTTTCCCCTCGTGTCTCTGCTATTTTCATGTTTAATTTGTGCTGTCGAGGCCGGGTATGTGTGCCGCATCTGGACGCCAGGGTTTGGTTTAAATGCTCAAACTGTGGCTTCCCCGGCGCCTGGCTGCCTGCCTCTGCCCTTAGGTTACTCTCTCCTAAGCTGCTTTTCTCTCCCAATCTTTTGCAGGCGTCTGGGGACTTTTTTTTTTTTTTTTTACTTTCTCTTTTTCTTTTGCACAACAAGAAGTCTACAGGATCTTTTAAGACGCTGAACTTTTTGTTTTGTTTGTTTTTAACCATTTCACCAGGAGAACAAGTTGAATGGACCTTTTTAAAAAGAAAAAGAAAATGGAAGGAAAACTGAGTGATCATCTTCTTCCCAGGAGTTCTCCAACCTGGACTGTGATACCGTTATTTATGAGAGACTTTCAAAGCCCTTTCTACAGTTGGAAGGTTTTCTTTATATACTATTCCCACCATGGGGAGCGAAAAACGTTACAAATCACAAGGAATTGCCCAATCTAAGCAGACTTTGCCTTTTTTCAAAGGTGGAGCGTGAGCACCCGAAGGATCCAGTATTCGGTTACTTAAATGAAGTCTTTGGTCAGAAATGGCCTTTTTGACGTTGAGCCTACTGAATGCTGTGTATATATTTATATATAAATATATATATATATATATATTGAGTGAAACCTTGTGAACTCTAAGTTTTCTTGTATAGTGGCAGAAATACCTATTTCTGCATAAAAATGTAATGACGTACTTATGCTAAACTTTTTATAAAAGTTTAGTTGTAAACTTAACCCTTTTATACAGAATAAATCAAGTGTGTTTATTGAATGTTGATTGCTTGCTTTATTTCAGACAACCAGTGCTTTGATTTTTTTTTAATGACGCTGTTATAACTGAACCCAAATAAATAAATACCAGTTCAAATTTATGTAGACTGTATTAAGATTATAATAAAATGTGTCTGACATCAATACCTGGATTCTGAATGATTTCTGAGAGGTCTTGTGCTTGCTTGGGCCGCATCCTTCTGTTCACAGTTCTCTCTTTATCACTCATGTGTTCCACAACAGCCCAGCAAACCGAAACATTGTTGCTGATAGGAGAGATGGGGACTGAGAACTGCTCACTTCGCAGACTTCTGTGCCTGTGCTTTGGGGCAGGGTTTAGAATGGGATTTGTGGGAGGTGACTCCCTTGAGTTAGGTCATTGACAGTCTAGAAAGTGTACAGTCTGGAAAGACTAGTGTCTGGGTGTGTGGAAAGACACTTAGAGCAAGATCCAGATTCAGAAGAAAAAGGGCTTTGACTGTCACTGTTTGCCCCTGGGAATTAAGCTGTCAAGCCTGGCCAGGAACTCCAGCACACTCCTCCACCTGTGGCTCACACAAGCCTGTCTGAGCCAGTTGCTTTCCCTGTCCGTCCCATGGTTATTAAGTGCCCTTCTCCCTCCCTGGTCTGATATCTGAACTGCAGCAAGGAACAGTGGGAAGGTACGAGAAAAGCCCCTCCACGCACCAAAAGTGGGGGGGGGGGGTATCCACCAATATTTCCACCTAGCTCTCAGATCCTTGAGGACCCTGGGTCGCTAATTTAGATATCTATTTTATATGTAAGAGTCTGTTCCCCAAGTCGGAAGTGACTTGAGGTGGGGTGGTTCTGGAAGGTGGTTCTAGGAGAACAGGCAGAATCTTCAGAAAGGATGGGACAAGGGACACGGGTATACAGACTTACCTGGTGCCACTTTCTAGGCCAAGCAGGTGTTTGGGTGGCGCCTGCTAGTCTGCTTTGGCTGAGGTGTTTTCCTGGCCCCTGACACCGAATCCATCATGGTGAGTGGAGGAGTGGCAGCTTCGGTTCCGGTGGTCCCCGCCTCTTTCCTGCGGGGCGGGGTTCGTCCTTAATGATTACATCAGGGGATGCATGATTTGGCCTTTACTCCTGGGCTGGAGACTGCCCCGGGGGCCAAGACAGTCGCCCGAACACTCGTCACCTGGTGCCTACTATAGCCCCTGTTTGCACACCCACCGGACCAACCCAGCATGCACTGTACCCCCATCCCAAAAGCGGGAGGAAAGTACCAGGATGAGTTGCTGCCCCACCCCTATCTTCAGCCTGGTGACGGCCGCTTCTTATCCTCTGCTCAGGTGGCAGTGGGGATCTAACCCTGAAGTGCAATCGTGCTATCTAAACGACAGGGATCTTCGGAGGACCTGTGGGGTCGCTGGACAGCTAACACTGCTTGCAACACTTGACTGCTAACCCGCGCGACAGTCCTGGAAAAGTGGAACCTTTTGGGGGGGAGGGGGGCGGGCTTGTAACTACAGCTCGCGCCATGGAGGCCGAGCGCCACCTGCTGGCAAACGTGAGGATCGCTGCTGGCCTACGGTTCGGCTGTGCCCGGAGCAAGGGTGCTGCTGGGGAGCAGGTGACTTGGTCTGCAGCCATTATCCTGACCAAGATCTGCCCATGTAACCTTCTAAAAATGATTGATGGCATCCCTAAAGACTCTGCTTCTAGCGCGTGTATGTAAAATCGTTCCTCCTCAGAAGGCTTTAGCGGCACGCTTCCCCTTCTCTGTCTCTAATTTTGCCTTTCACATTTATTTCTCCTGAATTGCTTAGTAGCATTTAACCAGAATGGTACCTTATCAGAATAGGATGAGAGTGAGCAGCGTTTTCTTACTCCAGATCTTACTGCCATTTTCCCTCCGCCGCGGAAGATGTAGGTGCAGATGGTCCTTGTACATCTTATCAGTTTTTGAAAAATTCCTTCAGCTTCTAAATTTGGGTAATTTTGAGAATTTTAAATCATAACACAGTGGCAAATTTAGCATACTTCTTGCTGGTTTTTTTTCATTATATAAGTTTTAAATCTCCTTCCACTGATTTATTTTATTTGTAATGCTGGGGATCAAACCCAAGGCCTTCGTAACTCAAGGCCAGCACCCTGCCACCCGCTACCCCCTCAGCATTTGATGCTATTTTTCTCAGAAAACTTTCTCTTCTTTAGCAAGCTGTGGTTTCTAAAATAACCCCGACTCCAACGTGATGTGGGATTTGTTGTTTTGCTCTTTTGTTTGGTGGTTTATGTCCATCGCAGATTCTGTAAACCCAGTATTTTATGTGTAATTGTGAGAAATTAAGGGCTGGTTTTTTTCTTGGACTATCCTGCGTTTGGTTTTGGAACAACAGGCACACTAATTTCAAAGGGTGAGCTTAGGCAGTTTGCTCTCGAGGTCCAATGCTGGAGTTAACTCCTTAAGAGACAGGCGTGTGCATTCCTCTCATGGTATAGAAACTATTCCCGGGTGTGCCACACACAGCCAGTCTGTGGACGAGCCAATTCGGTCTGTCATTGCTTCCTGTCAGTAGAGGGACTTCCGGGTTGAGCAAATCCAGCAGTAATGAGTTTAGTATTCTTGTCTGTCAAAAACTGCTATTGAAATTCTTAAACTCAGTGATCTCCTGCCCTGAACGCTGCAAATCCTCCACCTTTTGGAGTTCTCAGCACTTGCCCTTAGAAGGGGGACTCCAGGCTGTGGGTGTCTCTGTGGTATGGACCCAGGCTTTGGGTGTCTCTGTAGTATGGACCCACCTGAACTTTGTCTTTTTTTTTTTTTTTTTTTTTTTTTTTTTTTGTCTCATGGTGGAGCACAACACAGCTATTCCCTGGGAGCTGGCCGAGCCCACGCAATGGGAACAACCTATAGAGGATCTTGACCCGAAGTGCAATAAGCAGAACAATCCAGCTGATAGCTAGGTCTATGGTAATAAGAGTGAGCCTGGGAATTGTCCTACTGGGAAGGAGGAGGAACCAGAAAACCCTGACCTGAGAATCCTGCCAATCCTCCCTCCTGCCACCAGGGACTTCCAAGTACTCTAACCCCTGCCTGTGAATTACCCATGATCCTATAAGTAGGCAAACAACTGCTTTAAACCCATTGGTCCACTTTATGTACTCCTTCCTCTAATGCGTGAGTGCCTGCTCTAGCCACGAGCATAGACGTTTCTTTATGTCTCCGCAAGAACAGCACACAGCGCATATTAGACTCTTTGGCAATGGCAGCAAGATGACCAAGAAGCCTAGAGATCAGTCTTCTATTTAGTGAAGCAGGCACCATGAGGAGCTTTTCTAAGGGCACACACAAGGTAGAACAGAGTGCTGGCGAGCTCTGTGCACGTTCCTGGTGTTATTCCTTTTTAAAGATATAGTAGTGGCGGACTGGTCCCACGAGGGGTAGTGGTGGGTACCCAAGACCTTGGCAAGTCCCCTGAGGCCTTAGTAGGTCACCTTGGTGAGTGAGAGACAGACAGATACATCATGCAGAGAGAGAGTTTGGGTGTAGAGTTTATTTAGTGAGTTATAGAAGGAAAAGGGAAAAGGTGGAAGCAGAGAAGGGGAAAAAAGAGAGAGAGGCAGAGAAAGAGGGGGAGAGAGAGCAGAAGTTACCTCTTCAGGGAGAGAGCACAGGCTGGAGGAGGTGGGATATCTGTTTCCCTCTGCAGAAGGGGAGGGGTTGGGAGAGGGCGGGACTTGTCTCTTAAAGGGACAGGATACCCAAGTGATAGACCAGTCCAGCAAATCGTAATACCTGGGGCAGCCCCAGTAGAGGGGGACCTCTCTAAACCTCTCTAAAGTTGGGACTTTGGCCAACACAATTGGAAACAAGATGTGGCAAACTGGGGAAGCTGACTGTATAAAACCAGAAAGCATTAGCACCAGTCTGAGACAAGCCACTAAAACAGCCTAGCTCTGTGGCAGGGCCCCTCCGGTGGATAATTTGGGGTCAGGCATTTCCGGGTAGGAGAGATTAACAAGGCAGCAGGCTGCGGGGCGACTGAGTGAGCTCTGTGAGTGTGAATGTGACTGTCCTTGAAGTCACGTGACAGGGGAAAATCCCTATTTATCATCCCTTGATGTCTGCATGGATGGGTCCTACATAAGCTGAAAATCAAGGATATATGAACAGACCATCCCAAGTTATGTAACAACTCATCAGTCAATCGGGTTAGGATCAACCCCATTCCTGACCCTTCCGATCATCTCCTCCTTCTACCTAAACTCATTAAAAATGCAAAATCAAAGGGAAAAAAAACAGAGTTCCTGAGCTACATGTTTTCTTGGGGCTAGTTTCCATTCTGCACAGAGTATTCTACGCTAACCTCTGACTCTTAGTAACTACATACGCGGACATGGTCACCGTGTTTTGACCAGGCTGTTGTTTTAGACACCAAGAACCTGGAGTTTCTGTCAAGGCACACACACACACACACACACACACACACTGGCCCATCTTAGCATGGGAAGCCAAGCTCCTTTTCAAATTCACAACCACAGGTTGTTCTGCTCTGGAGGTGACACGAGAAGAGTTAAGATTCTGGCGGGTGACACCCTGAGGCTCGGACTGACAAGGTGAAGGGTTTTGTTTTGTTTTTTAATAGAGAAAACACACAGAATTCTCACATCTAGCGGCGAGGTGAAAGGCGCTCATAAACCCAACCCTGGAAGCAGCGTACTGCATAGGATAAGCCACAGTACAGTAAAGAGGAAGAACTACAGACGGCCTACACTATGAAGGGCAGAGCGATTGGGGGAAAAATATTAATTGAAAAAATTAACTAATGAAAACAAGTAATTAATGTGGATAATTATTAATAAAAATAATTAGTTGAAAAAATAGTTGAGGTGTTAGGTCTCAAGCCCGGGGACGACTGGCTGAGATGTCTATTTAACATATCAAAGTGGAGCTGGCTGCCCAGTTCTCCCAGCATCCCTCAGTCACCACCTGCTGCAGGGTGTGGCTGGCATACCCCACTCTCTACCCTGCCCCCAGCTCTCCAGCCGGGGGACTGGGCTGCCCTTCCCCAAAGGCTCTTCCCTGTCCACCCTGGACGCTTTGGTTGCCCTCCCAGATGCTGTCCCCCTCTCCCCGTCCCCTCTCCTCACACGGCTCAGAGTCCTGTGCACTCTGG